TCATTTATTCGAAGTTTTTCACATCCATTATTGAGAGATCTTAGGTAGTGATCTTTTTATTCGTTATTTTTTCCCAGTAGGGTGGTGATATTAATTCTCAAGAATTGAAGATTTGTCATTTGACATGTCAAACAATAAAGAGGAATTTTCATAAACCACTGTAGTTTAGTGGCTATTAATTTTCTATAGTTACCATGTACATATTTTGTCACGTTCCAAATTACCCCTAGACGTGACTGTCACCCAGCTAACACCACCCGCCAGGCGAACCATACTTTCTTACCTTAGCCATTAATTTACAGTATTTGATTATTCATAAGAGTATCCAAATAATCTGACAACTAAATTACGCACAATTAATATCTCAACATGTTATACTGAAATTCTTGCCCAAATCTCACACTAGATCATGGAGCATCTAAGAGAATTTCAACAGACATCATATGAACAAATAATAAGGACTCTTTTGGCAGCCTCCACGAACAATGCGGCGGCGCACCTCAATAACTGAATCAACTCTAGCGAACTCGTCAACTATTAGCTCCATCTTCACCAATAGTATCTGCATAGACATGCAGATAAGGAGTGAGTTATACGTAAATATAACCCAGTAAGATCCTCGACCCGCCACTCTGAATACCTCTGGAACAAGTGTTAGAAAATACAAAACACAACGAGCACAGAAATAATATGCACAGAAATTCTTTCACCATATAATTACTTTATAAGGTGCAAACATTTATTCAACAACAACACTATATATATCTCAACACAATCTGCATAGACAATCTAAGGACTTGTCATTAACGGTAGTGCAGAAAATTAACCAAACACCCTACAAGTCCACGGCAGCATACACAATGCCCCAAATCTACCACGGCGGCATACACAATGCCCCAAATTTATAAAGGCGGGACACACAATGCCCCAAATTTTATAACGGCGGCATATACAATGCCCCAAATCTATAACGGCGGCATACACAATGCCCCAAATTTATAACGGCGGGACACACAATGCCCCAAAATTTATAATGGCGGCATATACAATGCCCCAAATCTATAACGGTGGCATACACAATGCCCTAAATCTATAACGGCAGCGAAGAAATAATTTCTGACGCTCCAATGCCATAGCACCAGGCTACGCCACATCACACCACATCACAAATCACTCATTAAATAATTTTAGCTTTGTACAAAATAATATATATTTGTGACTGGTCAACGACCACCAACTCTGCCAAGCGCACGCTTGTCCCAACACATGGACCGGGCAGAAAAAAAATTACTTTCAAAACGAATTTTTGAAAAAGCAAGCATAAAAGCTTAAAGTCTCACTTACCTCGCTAGCCACATGTTTTCCAACTTTACAACGTCTAGAGCACCAACCAAACGGCCTTCAATGGCCTCAATCTATACAACATATTGATCATCCACGTTACTTAATGAGTCAAACTCAATTCTTATTCTAAATTCAATAACTGACATGCTAACTAGTTGACAAATCCCTTAATTATTCACATATTCAACTTACTCGGCTATAATATTTCTAACCACAATATGATAAAGTATATGTTTCATAAATGTACGTGACCATGACATGAAGAGTGAAGCTCAATACTGCTACATATGTAAAACTAATTCAACATTGGGTGCAAATATGTGAAACAGATTCCTTACACAAGGTTCCAAATTTGATTACAAAAAATGCAATTCTTAAGCAAAGTATTATCTTTTATTAAAGAGTAAGTTCATTATTAAATTATATTTCCACTCCAAGGCCTCATCTTTACTATACACCTAGGAAAAAGAAATTATTAGTTACATTAAGCGCGCAATCCTTTATCGACTTTCATGCTTAAATTTTTATCACTGCTACGCAGAGAATTAATAATAATATTTTTCCTAAATTAATTTAAGAAATACAGCTATAAGAATATTATAAGTCTATACCTTGTCACATATGACTTGCCAAGTAATATTTCACTCTTCCTATTTCTCAATTTCACGCCACCAACGAGATAGGCAGACTCCTTATTGTATTGGGAAAAAAGTTGAATTTATATTGAAGATGACGTGGCGTGACACGTGGACTGGACAAGTGGTCAAAACATAACAATTGGGAAAAAGGTACGGGAAACGACAGGTACGGGAAGAAGAAGTGAAATAGGCACGAGAAGCAGTTTAGACACGAGTCTCGTACCAATTCGAAGTCATTTAAAGCCAGTGGGTCGAAAGGCATTGAAGACATGAATCTGAAGACAAAAAGAAGTCCAAATTCAGTATTAAATACCTGATACGTTAGAAAATTGGTATTTAATAGGAATGATTGTGTAACGGCTCATTTAATGTCATTTATTGTCCATAATTGTCTCATTAAAGCTTAGGTTTTATTCCTTTACCTAGAATCAACTATAAAAGGAGGAAGTTGTATTGGGAAAAGAACATCTTTGACATCATATTGAAATAAGAAATTTTGTTTACTGCTTTATTATTATTCTCAGAAAGCCTATTATTATTTTGGTCTCTTGATTATCAGTAACCCGATTTTTCATCTCAAATTCTAGTTTTATCCAAAATATTATTTCTTTGGTGAAACACTTATGGCTGCCGCCAATTCCCTTGCCCTTTTATACTTTTCGTTGCTTCTCCTTTTATAAACAAAATAACAATATTCTATTACCCAGGTCTTCTAAAACAGGGAGAAATTCAAAAATAGCCAGATTTACCACTGGTCGTTGAAAAATAGCCAAGTTTTAAAAGTCATCGAAATTTAGCCACTTTAAATCTGAGCGAAAACACTGTTAAAAATCCGGAAAAATACGCCCGCAAATTTTACGGGAGTTCCAGGATAACTATGCTGGAACTCCCTCAAATTTTACGGGAGTTCAAGCATAATTATGCTGGAACTCCCGCAAATTTTACGGGAGTTCCAGCAAGTATAATTGTCCAGTATAATATACTGGAGTTTGGAGCACTGGTGCTCCAGTCTCCCGCAAATTTTACAGGAGTTAGCAAAGTATACCGGTCCAGTATAATATGCTGGAGTTCGTACACAAATGCACCAGAACTCCCGTATATTATACTGGACCGGTCCCTGTTGCAGCAAAATAGTGGCTATTTTTCATTGACTTGATAAACGCTGGCTATTTTTCATTGACCAGTGTGAAAACTGGCTATACCATGATATTTTAACTCTAAAACATGGTAGCACCGTGAATAAACGAATGGGCTTGGCCTTTTTTGTTTAAATGTTTTTTTTTAATAATCTTAACCAAAGTACACTAAATAAGTAGTGTAAAAAAATTATTATTATTTTGCCATTATCTGTTTGTTTTGTTCATCATCTTAAATGTCATAACAAATTTTCTTTTACTAGCTTTATATTTGATCTAATAATTATAAATTAATTAATTCTTCAATCCCATAACTAATAAGTATATAATTTAAATTTTGGGGTATTACATATTTACTTTCTATAGCTAATATATTTTGTTGCTATCCGACTGTATTCGTTGTATTCGTGCGACTGTATTTATGAATACAGTCGGAGAATTCGCTTAAAAAATAGGGAGTCCAACTGTTTAATAACGGAAAGAGGAATCAATAAGCGTGTATCACTCCTAAATGTATACAGACGGTGTTAAATACAACTAGGATATGAATACAGATGTAGATTGTGGAATCAACTATTCTGAAAATCCAACAAAATACATTTATGTATCCAAAACAAAAGTTGCGAAAAATCATGAAAAATTCAGTCATAAGCTGAAATACAATCTGAAAAATGTAAAACTATTCAATCATTATTTTTATATATGTATCCGATTCTAAGATTTGCCTAACAAACTTTGTCGGTGCTTCATTATCGCTTATCGCCTCGGCATCTAACTTTCGCATATCATAGTCTCAAAGGAGCGCACTATATCTTTGCCGGAATAAAATAGGATCAAAGGTTATTTGTGGAACTAATCCACGTATGCTCAAATACTCTGCATATGCTTCAGTAAATACTCTGATGAAGTACGGGGGTGTTCAACAAAGAATGTTAATTCCTGCATACAAACAACACAAAAATAAATACAAGCTTGAAATACATATAAATACAACTAGGTGGTTACAGTAATTTCAGTGTATTCAAAATATGTGGCTTCTTACTTCAAATACGTATAAATACAAGTATATTTGAATATATTATTTTCACAGTATTCAAAATACAGTAGAGACAAGATACAAAGCTTGAATCAGGACTCATGAGAATAGTTGATAAATTAGTACTGTTAGTGTATTCAAAATATTTATTTTCTGAATTCAAATACAGATAAATACAGCTATATACACAACCAAAAAAAATTTGTACGAACTAAATTTATTGTATGAGGACAAACACACGGATATCTCCAAATGTATAATGTATAAAAAATCAAAAATTGAGTCTATGTATGTATAAAAAAATATAGAATATGAAATACACAATATACATGTATGAAAAAAATAAGATACACCAACGTACACATGAATACTACATTTGTACCATTGTATCCCAAAATACAATACATACAAAATACAAGCTTGAATCAAGACAATATTGATACAGAAATATTGGTGTATTTAAAATTGTTGTTTTTCGAATTCTAATATATATAAATACAACTAATACAAAAAAATGCAAAATCCTATATGAACTAAATTAAGAGTACGAGGACAAACAAACAGAAATACATGTATATTAAAAAGCATACGGAACCTGCAATTGTGACTCTTTTCAAAGATTTTGCATCTTCAAATTGATAAGGTCATTGCGTAGTTTGGTTCGCCTCTCGGCTTCAATGGTTGTTGTAGAACCTGCAAATACAACTTCCTCTTGAATGATTTGCAAATCGAAAGATGTCCCATCAAAATTAAGGGATTTAGTAGGTATACCTCATGTAACCCTCTTCGGATACTTGAATCATCCGTTAAAGACAGAAAGTTGAAGTTTCTTCCTCAAACCTAACAATGGCGAAAATTAAAAAGGTGAGTGGAGAGAAAAAAAGAAGAAGGGCAGAGTAGAAAGCAAGAACTGGCAAAAAGCTTTACCAATTAATAATGATCCACGATTTTTAGGAGCAAAATCATGGTCGAATCTTGCTAAGAAATTTGCTCATAAAATCCTGATGAGAGATAGAGAAGGAAGAGAGAGACAAAGAACATACTTGCATATTTCACGCCTCAATGGTAGGGTATAAAATAAATACGTATTTTTCTATAAAATAAAATAAAAAAGATAGCTATGAATAATAATATTTTGAAATTATTGTGATTTATAATAAATAGGGTGTAATAGTTTGCTATAGGAGGTAAGATTATGAACAATAAAATAGAAAGTGTAATGACCATGAATCCGCAAAGAAAAATTGGCATCCTATAACAACACATAACAGAAATTGGTAATTTTTTAGCCTTATATTAGGTTTGGCAAAGATAACCCCAAACAATTGGCGTTATATAGCCAAATCTTAAAAAAACTACTCTCTTTTATATTCTTTCTAAAAAAAAAAAAACTACACACTTATTTTGGCTTACCCCCCCCCCCCCCTTTCCTCTCCTTGTATTTCTTCTTCTATCTCTTCTCTTTTGCTCTCATAGTATAGCAAAAATTCTTGCAAATTATGCACACAAAAAAAATCAGTAGGATGAAAAGTTAAGGTTGATCTCACATCAGAAAAAATCAGAAGCAAAAACTAAGAGAGAAAAAATATATTTCAACTTTGTTTTTCTTCTCTCTCTTTTTTTTTGTTGGATTGAATGAGTGGGTGTGATTGAAATTGGTTGAAAATACCTAAACGAGGCTATATAAGAACTCGAGCAAGATTAGCAAAAACTAAGAGAGAAAAAATATATTTCAACTTTGTTTTCTTCTACCTTCAATTTTTTGGTTGGATTGAATGAGTGGGTGTGATTGAAATTGGTTGAAAATACCTAAACGAGGCTATATACAAAATTTGAGCAAGATAGAAGTGATTTAGACTAGTTCAGGTAAAAAATCAGGCCTAAAAAATCAACTACGACATGTGTATATCACGTTGTATATCGTGTACATTAGTGTATATCACACACGAGTTTTTAAGGACGTCTGTGTATATCACTTTGTATATCGTGTATACAACACAATTTTTTTAGGGATTTTTTCTTACCTATACCATATATGAAACCTTATTACCAAAAATGTACATAATTCCTAAATTACCCGCCCAGTCCACATTATTTCTACAGTTTTTGTACTAATCATTAAAAGCTAATTAATAGCAGCTGTATCTTCCTATTTTTGTGTAACGACCCGGCCGGTCGTTTTTGGAAATTACGCCCCGATCCCCCCATTAACTGCTTCTCCTAAGTTCATTTCTGCTATTTTGGTTTGCCGGGACGTTCGGTGTTGAGTTTTGAAAAGTTTTGGGACACTTAGTCCCTAAATGAGAGCTTAAGTGTTGAAAAGTGGTCCGTAGTCGGAACACTATGAAGACGACCTCGGAATGGAAATCTGATGGTTCCGTTAGCTCCGTTAGGTGATTTCGGGGTTGGGAGCGTGTTCGGAATGTATTTTGGAGGCTCGTAGCTCATTTAGGCTTGAAATGCCGAAGTTTGAATTTTTGAAGTTTCCGGTCCGATAGTGAGTTTTTTATCCGAGGGTCGGATTGGCCGAAAGTTGCAGTAGCTTCGTCATGTCATTCGGGATGTGTGTGCAAAATTTCAGGTCATTCGGGCGAGGTTTGGTTAGGTTTTTGATCGAAAGTGTGTTTTGTTGGAATTTGAAGTTCTTAGGCTTGAATCTTTGATTTAATCGGGTTTCCGGTGTTGTTTTAGGTGTTTTAAGGATTAGTACAAGTTCGAATAAGGTATTAGGTGGTATTGGTGCTTTTGGTTGAGGTCCCGGGGGCCTCAGGATGATTTCGGGTGGTTGACGGAAAATTTTGAAGTTGAATGAATTGCTGAAGGTTCTGTCATCTGGTACTTCCGCTTCTGCGGCTTGGGAGGCGCAGAAGCGGCTAGACCACCGCAGGAGCGAAATTCAAGTGCTTGTTCAGTTTCCGCAGGTGCGAAAGTTTAACCGCAGAAGCGGTTACGCACCTGCGAGATGGTAGTCGCAGATGCGGTCCTTGGAATTTTGTTTGAAACCGCAGAAGCGGTAATGAATCCGCATAAGCGGCAACCGCAGGTGCAGTGAAGGGCCGCAGAAGCGGAAATCTTGACTTTAATGAAGAACCGCAGAAGCGGGACCGCAGAAGCGGTCCCTTGTCCGCAGAAGCGGAAACCCCTGGACAGAAATAGAGATGTGAAGGTTTGAGTTCATAAGTTGCAAAATCAATTGAGAGCTCGGTTTAAGGCGATTCTGAGTGGGATTTGAAGTGAAGATCACTGGGTAACGTTTCTTTGGTCCCTTCTTGTTATATTTCATCATTTTATAGTTAAATACACCATTGGAATTCGAATTTAGGATAAAAAATTGGAAGAAACTTCATAGACCTAATTATTGGGTTTTGAGGGGGCATTTGACCTTCGATTTGGGAGATTTTTATATGGTTGGACTCGTGAGAGTACGAGAGTTCTGAAAACGTAAAAATTATTCGATTCCGAGACATTGGCTGGAGGGGCATTTTGGTCATTTTACCTATTTTCGCGCCCTAGCTTTAAATTTAATAGTGGAATCAGTTGTTTGCAATATTATTTACGATGTGTAATTGAATTGAATAGATTTGGGCCATTTGGAGTCGGATACTCGTGGCAAAGGCGCGGTTTCTAGTGATATTGAGCCGGTTCGAGGTAAGTGGCTTGTCTAACCTTGTGTGGGGGACCTTCTCCTTAGGATATTGTTATTGGTATTTTGAGTGCCTTGCACGCGAGGTGACGAGCGCGTACTTGAGCCAATTGTTGAAAATCCGGTTTTACTTAAGATATTGAGACTGAGTTTCCTTCATATTGCCTTGTTTTACTTGCAGTTATAACCTGTGTTAGATTAGACAAGCATGTTTAGTTGATTTAACTTGCCTAATTGTTTAAGTTGCCTTGATTGTACTACGTGAAGCATGCTAGGCTAGTACTACCTGATGTTTGTCTTTTGTACTTCATTTCTGAATATCTTCTGGTTGTGGTTGCGCATTTACATTGGGACTACGGATGTGGGATTCCGGTAGCTCCCCCCTTGTTTGTTTACTTTGGGACTACGGGTTCGATTCCCGGTAGATCCCCCTGCACTTTTACTTTGGGACTGCGGGTTAGATTCTCGATAGATTCCCCCTTGCACATTGATAGTTGGACTACGGGACGGTATCCTGGGAGATCCTTCGGATATACATATTTGATGGACTACGGGACGGTATCCGGGGAGATCCACTGGACAGTTGAGAAAAAGACTACAGGATGGTATCCTGGGAGATCCTCATTGTTACCATTGGTGTTGAGCTGTACTCATTCTGTGGTTGTTCCGTCCTTGTGTATTTGTTATTGCCTTGTTTAATCTGTCTTATTTCGCTGCTGTATTTATTATTTCTGTCAGATTATCATAATGTTAATTATTGTTATTACTATATTTCGTCTCAGTATGGCCCTGACCTTCCTCGTCACTACCCAACTGAGGTTAGGCTTGGCACTTACTGAGTACCGCTGTGGTGTACTCATGCCCTTCCTGCGCATGTTTTTCATGTGCAGATCATCCAGGTACCTCTACTCAGGCGCACTATCAGTGAGGCAGGAGGACTACGGAGACTTCGAGGTAGATCTGCTGCGTCCGCAGACCGACGAGTCTCCCTCTTATTCTATCTTTAGTACTTAGTTTTCCTTCTTTCGGTTGTTAGAAATTCTGGAGTTTGGAACCTTTACTATACACTTCTGTAGCCTGTGTTGCCCGTGAGTTTCCGGGTTTTGGGAATTATTTTAGACTTGTGATATTGAGTTGTACTTGCCAAGCGGCATTCAGTACAGTTTCCTTTAGATATTTGATTTGATTTTCTCTATTTTTCCGCAATTATTATATTTCCGCAAATGTTAGGCTTACCTGGTCATGGGGACCAGGTGCCGTCATGACATGTTCACGGTTGGTGAACCAGGGTCGTGACATTTTGCGAGCTACATTTTAGAAGCAGAATATTCTGAACAGATTTGGCGTGAATAAGATCATATCATATCACGGAAATCACTCATCTTCAATTTATAAACAAATTCTGTTCGTCGAAATCAAAATATCAGTTCGTCGCTACAAATCAAACTATCAGTTCATCGAAATCAGAAGCTCAATTCCAAATTGTAGAAATCAGTTCTGTAAATATCAGTTTGTCGACTTTTTTCATCAATCCCTAATCAAAAAGTTCAAGTCAAATTGTAGAAATTAATTCTGCGATTCTCTGTTATTCGTCTTTTTTTTTTTCTGAATCCAAAAAATCAAAAAAGCGACAAAATATTGAACAATAACTCTGCAACGACAAGCAATCATGTCCAAAATCCCAATCATGCTACATTTTAATGGAGATTTGGATAGCTATGGCAGCCTCTCTCGTCATAGAGGAATATCAAAGTGAGATTGTAGATGATTTGTAGAGAAATTGTAGTTAATTTGTAGATTGTAGATAATTTGTAGATATAATTATAGATACGTTGTAGATAAATTGTAAATAAACTATTTTATAATTATAAATATTTTTATTGCTGTTTGTTATGTGATTCTAGGTGAGGGCTTCAACAGATCATATCCATACTGTGATAGATGGTGTGAAGCGGTACATGAATCCTACATTATAACTACTATTAACTACAAAAACTCTACAATTATGTATAAAATCAGCTCTACAATTTAAACAAATTTACCTACAGTGAATATACAAATTACCTACAGTTTAAGTACCTAATATAAAAATAACTACAATTTATCTACAGTTACAGGGCAAACAGGCAACACATCATCCACAATCATGTCTACATTATATCTACATTTTAGACTACAATTAATCTTGGAATGCTCTACATAAACTACAAACTAACTACAA